TCAAGGTGGCAGTGGGTAGTGTATGCTGAGACCCCCTCTCCCTGGTCTGCACGTGTGCACCTTTCCACCCTGTCCTCACACGCCAGAGGGAGACATCATCTCCCATGTGTCTCTTCTTATAAGGGCACTAATCTAATTCACGAGGGCTCCACCCTCATGACCAAATGACCTCCCAAAGGCCCCACCTCCGAATATCATCACACTGGGGATTAGGGCTTCAACATGGGAATTTTAAGGACTCACATTCAGCCCAGAGCACTGCCTACATTTTTGTGCACGGCTTTGTTGCTTTCTAACACGCCAGGGAATTGACTCTTTGCTCCCCTTTCTGAAATACCATCTCGGTAAAGACAAAGACCTTTTCCTGCTTAGTCACTCATGTATCTTCATGAACTAGAACTGTTCCTGGCACACAGTTGGCTCTCATTAAATCTCAGATGGTTGGATGACTCATGTATCTGCAAAGAGCCCTCAAAGGAACTAGCCCCCCCAGAGCCCCAGAAGCCCATCAAAAATGACCTTCCTCCACCCCAGGCACTGAGCGGTTGAGACCGCTACTTTGAGACGGGCACAGGGTGGGAGAAATGGTGTGGTGGGCCTAGCCACGCGTCCTAGTGACGAGCAGTGAATGGGGCTGCCAGCCTGGCTCCACCACCCACTTGACCGTGTGACCCTCGGCCTGTGTCCCAACCTTTCTGAGCCCCCGTCTCCAATTCTGTGAAGTGGGGATAAGTGCCATCTGCGGCTGTTGGGGCTCTCCTGAGGAATACGTGAGATTGGGCATGTAGGGCATCTGACCCGGCGCACGGCACCTGGGAAATAAGCGCTGACTCTTATCAGCTCCATCTCTAGGCAGAGCCCACAGTCAGAGCTGCAGATAACACCACCAGGCTGCTCCCGAGCGTGCTGAGCTCACCAGGAAGGGATCGAACGGAGGAAAGGAAGGCTCCCTTGCAACTCTGGTGAAGGGAATGGGCCCAGAGAGCGGGCGAGAGCCCGGAGGTTACTGAGTGAGGTAGGCTGAGGGCCGAGAAGGAAGACAGGAGGGAGGCAGCACGCAAAGTGGCCTGCCTCCTCTTTCCACAGCCCGGACGTGTTCCCAAGACCATTCCAGGGCTGCTCAGTGAGGCCTCCAAGCAGGCCTTCCTCTTCTGCTCTAGAAGATTCTCCTCTTGGAGCCCCTAGGGAGGGAGCTTGCCTTGACCGCATACTTCACCCTCCCTGACAGGCCCAGATACTCTCATCACTGAGGCCGCGTCTCCTTCACAGCTCTTGGCCTCGCTCTGTTTCTTCCACATCCTGCCCAGAGGCCACATGGGCTGTTTCTGCCCCAGGGTCACCACACTTCCTGTCTTCAGGGTCCTGAGGGCCAGGATGGGGCCTGGGAAATGTCATAGTTGAGTCTCTGAAGGAACACTTTCCTTCTCAGAGATCTCCCTCTCTCTCAGGCTTGGCAAGGTGCCCTGTGGAAGGCGTAGAATGTGCCCGAGTCATGGCAGGAAAGGAGAGGCCGCGGCCTTCTCTGTTTTGGACAGGTTTCTCCAGGTTCAGTGGTCTGAGGGTGGCCGAAGCAGCCCCGCCCCCGAGGAAACACTGAAAAGTCGGGCCTGAGCAGAGCGAGTGGGCACTGGGTCTGGCCCCTGTCCTGCCCGTTGTGCACTTTTTCCAGAGCCCCCATCTGATACCTTGAGCAGCCTCACATCCTCTTGTTGTTTTAGAGCTGATGAAAGGGTTTCCCATGACTCCTTCTGCTCGTCCTCCAGTAATCAGGACAGAAATGATCATCTGGTCCTAGACACCATGGAACCAGGGACTGGAAAGGCTCACCCACGGCCACCCGCTGACAAGCAGGAAAGAAGCATCACCGGTCAGCACCCGCCCTGCCCATCTCCCCGCCAGGAGGGCTGGCAGGCATTGTGAATTAAAGCCAGACTGGTCTCACCTGCGCCCTGCCTCAGCTCCATTCCTAGCAACGTAGGCTGAGGCACACCGCCGGCTGGCGGGGATGTCAGCGGGCCAGGGGGGCCGGCCACACATGTGCCAAGGACGCAGCAGTGACGTCACCCAACCCAGGAGTGGGTGGCAGACATGCTCAGGCCAGAGAAACGGAAACCACAGAAACCTGGGCTGGGCTGGGCAGAGCGACGGGCTGGCAATGTCACAGGGGATGTCCCTGGGTCCAGAGGTCCAGCTTTTGAGGGACAAGATGGGGACCCACAGCTTCCAAGGGACAACTTGGGGCTGCCATCCCATCGTCATCCCAGGAGTATGGTGTGGCCACCAAAAGTGCCGATTTGTTGGCTATGTTGAGGGAGCCTGTTGTCCTGTGGAAATGAGGTGGTGGCCCTCTGCTTGACAGTCGGAATAACTGGAGTTGGTCCAAAGGAGGGCAGCCAGGATGGAGAAATTATACAAAATTGTTCCACACGGAACTAGGTCAGTTTAACCTAGAAAAGCATAGAACTCGGGGGACATGGGCCTCGCCTTCCCCTATTGGGAGGGAAAGGGTGGAGAAGCAGGAGCAGACCCAAGTGTGGGAACCTCAGGGGACAGTCTGGGGAGCCTTGCCGGATGCCCCCAAGACAAGGATTTTAGTTCAGTGGGAGAGGAGAACACTCCTGGGCAGAGCAGCTTGGGAAAGAGCGCTGATTCAGGAGGGCTGCGTGCGTCATCCCTGGAGGAAGCCAAGCAGCGCCGGAGGCCCCAGGCTGAAGAAGAGGTCATTCAGGTTGCCGATGAGAGCAGGAGGGTCGGCCTTCAGAGTCTCTTTCACTTGGGGACTCCAGGGTCCTTTCTGAGCCCCTGTCACATGGCCTCTCTTTTCTCCATCCCTGCAAGGCCTCCGCCTGCGGGTGTCTCTCCGGGCTGAGCCTGTGGTCCCCAGATGAGCTCGCTGTTTGGGTTTCCCCTTTGCTCTGTTGTCTGTCCGCTCTTGGGTGCAGTGAGTCACTGCTGGCCTTGGGGCGCAGCAGGAGAGACCTGCTTTCTTCCCTTGAATACTCTGAAAGAGATTTGCTGGGCCATCTCCCACACGCGGGAGGTTGGGATTTCCCTTGCTACTCCCCGACATACATACAGACACACTCTTGCTCCCGTTTGCCATCCAGCTCCTCACTACCTGCTTCCCTCACCCACTGGTCAAGTCCCTTCTGAGGGAGCTACAGCTTTTAGAAAATTTTTTTAATTGAAAAATAACACACATACAAAAAAACCCCACACAAATATAAATGTTCAGCTCAGTGATTTAAAACAAAGCAAACACCTATGTTGCCGGCAGCCAGGTCAGGAAGGAGCGCACTACCAGCACCCCAGAACCCCCTCTTTGGCCTCCTCTCCATCATTTTCCCACTCCCCCCTCCCCAGAGGTCACCCCCATCCTGGCTCTAACACTGGTCCTACGTTGCCTGTTTGGTGTCTGTCAGTGGAATTCTGTGTGTATTCTCTGGCCTCTGGTGCTAACATGCTTATCTGTTAGGTTTCTTCATACTGAGCAGAGCTCTAGTCTGTGTATTTCTGATGCTGTGCAGTATTCCAGCATGTGACTAACCCCAGGTTATTGACCCATTCTACTACTGATGGACGTCTGGGTTTGCGTCCAGGCTGGAGCTTTTACAAACCATGTTTCAGAAGCACTCGGGTGCTTGTCTTTGGTGCATGCATTTCTGCTAGATACACACCCGGGCGTGGCAGTGTGGGCTCTCGGGGATATGTGTGTCCGGCCACAGTAACTTGTGTCAGCTTCTGAGGTCACTGTGAGAACTGAGTCTCACTGTTCTCTTGACACATGTCATTTGGCACCACAGGGACAGTGGGAGCAGACTGGCGATGCCCCCTTACAGTAGAAGTGTGCAGTCTCCGTCTCTCCCAGCGTGCTGTTCACTGGGGCGGGCGTGGGCTGCGGTCATAAGAGGCAGGGGCCTCCCTCTCCCTGCTGCCAGGCCTGCTCAGGGCCATTCCAGAGTGAGACAGCTGGCACCGCACCCCTGTCCTGTGACCCATCCCCTCTCACCTCTGCCGGTCGTGACAGCCAACATTTACCAATCATCTGTTAGGTACCAGGCTTTTTGCTGGATGTTAAGGGCACAGAAATTGCTAAGGCATAGGGCAGGGGAAAGACAAGGAAACAAGTCATTCCACCGGCGGTCAGTGGTGCCGAGCTGGAGCAAGCCCGGGGTGAAGAGCACGTAGCCGGCTGCGTGGACTGGAGGAGAGGAGGTGGAGGTGGGGGTGAGGTGGGAGGTGAGAAGGCTTCTGGAGGAGATGGAGCAGGAGCTGAGCCTTGAAACATGACTGTGGCTTGGCCTGACCTTGACCCCCACCACAGGACACAGCTTGCTCAATACCAGGAACCCTGATGTAATGCAAGGAGGTTTAGACAACCACGAGGAGTTTGGTACGGCTGCTTGAAAGTTGTGGGAGCTGAGAGAGGAGATGAAGCCATGAAGGTCTTCGGGGCCGCACTTGGACGTGAGCTCTGTCCTCTAGGCCAAATGTGCATTTTAGAGAGGTCGCTCTTCCCTGCATCTGGAAGTCAGAGGGGGATCAGCAAGGAGGCTGATGCAGGTGTCCAAGTGAGAGAAGACAGTGGCCTGACCCGGGCAGGTGTGATGTGAGAGCCATAAGGACCCCAGCCCATGGTTGTGGGGAACAGGGCCTGGTCCCTAGGCTGGGAGCTATAGGAGCAAACCAGCCTGCCACACCCCAGCCAAGTAGACGGAAGTCGGGCTAGGGTTTCTCCATCCCAACAAAGATCTAGGACCCTGTGAAGCAAACTGACGCACACGTTCAGTGTTAGCGAAGAGACAGACGTATCAGAGGAGGGGAGCCTGGGGCTGCATGGGAAAGCTGGCCCCCCACCCCTCCTGGAGCCTCGCTGGTTCCCAGGCATCAAGACGCACTGATAATCCTGCCCCCCCCCCCAGTCTCTGGGCCCGAGGTCCCCCACATCTCCCCACGTTGCCTCTCTTCCCTCTGACTGCCCTCTCCGCCCTGGCTCCTAGGGAGGCCCCATCCAGAACCGCAAGTCCAAGCGCTGCCTGGAGCTGCAGGAGAACAGCGACTCAGAGTTTGGCTTCCAGCTGGTGTTGCAGAGGTGCTCGGGCCAGCACTGGAGCATCACCAACGTCCTGAGGAGCCTGGCGTCCTGACCCCGCAGGGAGCCGCCCCCGCCCGTCCCTTTGCTACTGTGTAGCACCTGCTGCCTGCTGTCCATGTGGGGTTGTTTGGAGTCGGGGGGAACCGGGTTAGTGGGAGCCCCCCCAGAAAAGAGCTTTTTATTTCCTATGCGATTTTCATGGAGTTTATAGAAAGGTGCCGAATGGTGGGTGATGGTGTAATATCATAAACTATTTTGCAACTGTAAATAGGGGACAAATGGAAAATATTTATAACTGACAATAAAACACTATTGATTAAGAAAAGGGTTTCTGCGGTCACTTGGGGCTCAGTGCAGATTCCTGCCTGGTTCCTCGGAACTTGGAGTTCGTGTCCCTGTTTGCTTTTCCTGCTCCTCGTCCTCGAGAAAGGAGGCTCGAAGCCCCCGCCAACAGTGGGAGCTTGTGCACACCGCCAGCTTTCTCCCTTAGGCCCAGGGTGCCAAGAAGGGCACTCTGACCTTCCGGGTTCCTTCTGCCTCCACTACAGCACCTGCGTCCTCTGGAGAAAGCATCCCTGGAGAGGGTGGTGTTGCTCGCTGGCCACTGGGCCATCCGCTGCAGGGCTTCAGGCTTCAAGCTCTGCTGCCCTCCCCTGATGTCACCTCCCTCACCTCCCAAAGCGGTCCCCTGCTCAGGCCCCCAGCAATGACCCTCACCTACAGACGCCCCCAGCCAGTGGCTCCTTCCAGGAGTCACCCTATATTTGTTTCCGGGGGCTGTCATATCAAAGGGCCACAGACTGGGTGGCTTCGACAACAGAAGTTCATTCTGTCCTGGTTCTGGAGGCTGGGAGTCCGGAGTCAAGGCAAGGGTGGAGTTGGGTCCTTCTGAGTGCCATGAGACAACATCTGGTTGAGGTCTCTCTCCTGGCTCCTGGTGGCCTCAGACGTTCCTCGGCTGCAGGTGGCCATGTGCCTCCTGTGTCTTCATGTCTTCTTCCCTTTGTGTGTATCTGCCTCACGGTCCACGTTTCCTGTGTTTATAAGGACACCAGTTATACTGGAGTAGGGCCCACCGTTGTGACCTCATTTAAGTGGATCACCTCTGTAAAGACTATGTTTCCAAATCAGGTCACATTCTGAGGCACTGAGCGGTAAGGGCTTCTGAGCTTTTGGGAGGACACAGTTGAATCCATAACACACGGCTTATTCAGCTATGGCTCCAAGTCATCCCTCTGGGCCCAGCCTCAGGAGACCAGTGACCCTCCGAGTAGAACGGTCTTTCTTGGAGCCTGTTACCCAATCTTCTGTCCCTCCAATAGCTTCCCAGTCCCAAGAGGCTTTCCTCGGGTTGGGGGTTCCTGTGTTTAGTTAGAACGACACCCCCAGCACCACCCCCAGCACCACCTCCAACCCTCTGGCTCAAAGCAGAGCAACAGTGAATGATGGGTTGTAAGACTCAGGGGAGGAAACGCTTCCTGGACAACTTTCAGCCCCACTCACCCCCTCAAGCCTTCTGGGACCTCTTTCCCAAGGGGCCTGCAGCCCCTGCACCTGCCTATTTGGGCTCAGTGATCTATAGCTGAACACCGAGTGAACACAGAGACACCTCCTGTGCCTGTGGGACCCCCAGGGGAGAGGGGCCTCCTGTCTCGGCCACCCGGCACCCCGAGAATCCCATCCGGCACAGGTTTCACCCCGGAGGGGCCACGAGGCCTCCCCAGGCCACCACCATAGCCTCCCCTTCGGGCTTATCTTTAACTCCCACCACAGAACAGAGGGTTCCTACCCTCCGGGAGGTGGACACAGGAAGCAGGACCCTCAAGAGGGAGTTTTAGGCACTGCCTTTGCCATGCTCGCGAAGCGGGGGCTCCCACACCACTACCCCCTACTGACTCCTCATTCAGACAGACGCCTCCCCGGCGCGGCCACCCACCCCCACCGTGCTTCTAAAGTCACCACCTACCAGAGGTCCCCTCGTCTCGGCCCCTGGCTCTCAACCCCTGGCTCCACCTGCAACTCCCGAGTCAGAAACAGTCAGGGTTTTAAGAAGCGGTCCGGGTAATTCTGATTCCCTGCTGAAAGCTGAGAGCCCTGCTCGGCACCAGCCTGGGTCAGGTCCCACGTGCCCTCCTTCCTGCACTCACCCCGGTCTCCTGCTACACACTGCGGCCCCTACTTCCTGCCCCAATCCCGAACACCCCGCGTCCCCCCCCCGCAACACACCCCTCCGCTGCCTGCGCCCCGCCCCTGCTGTAGGGCAGAAGGCCCAAGAGCATGGCCTCCGAGTCAGACAGTCCCCATTACTGGCTGGATGGTCTCGGGCGGCTACATAACCTCTCCCTGTCTGTGTGTCCTCTCCTTGAAAAACTAGGAATATCTTCTATGGGGTTTGTTGTGAAAATGCAACGAGTAAACGGATGTAAAGCTGTGGGACGGTGACAGGGAGAGAGTAAGTGCTATAAGGTCTTAGGTGTCAGTATCTTACCCGCTGGCGTCCTGACACCCCGGTGCTCTCCCCGAGATCCGCAGCTGTGTACCTGTCTACAGCCACGCCTGGCCACGCCTGTCCACATCCGTAGCCCAGCGAACCTGTCCCACCTCCCCTGCCTGCATCGCCTGCCTGGAGGCGCTTGTCCTCATACTCATTGCTACCTAAACCCACACTTTTCCACACTCCACACATCCTTGTCCCCTATCGAAGGCATCCTGCCCTTATCCACTCCCAGTGTCTGCACCCGGAGAGGCAAACCCCAAAATAGCGCTCTCCCCTTTGAGTTAATCTGGGGGCAGTTAAAATGGGGGCACCGGGGGCAGCTCCTTCCTCAGACACCAACTTGCCATCTCCCTGAGCCCAGATGCGCAGGCCCTCGCGGGAGAATTGGCTCTGAGAGGCTCCCCGGGGGCCCTGGCCTCCTGAGAGTGGGGACCACAGGGCCAGTCCAGGCTCAGTTACATCCAGCGGGATAAGGGCGAGACAGCCAAGGCCGCGAGTCTCCAAAGCAGAGGGGCCGGTGAGTGTGGGGAAATGGCTGGAGGGGAGAGCAGAGAGGAAGGAGGCCAAGGGCACTCGGCCACATCCAGCCTCCCATCATCCCAGCTTCAGCCTCTCCCTGCCGCTGCTGCGAGCTAATTAGCAGCTGTTGGGGGCTCTCTGAACACCCTGGAGTGAGATCATTGTTTTTCTTAATGATTTGCACGTTCAACAACTTGGTGTCCTGTTTCCACCGCCTTCCCTGATACCAGAAAGGGCTCTTTTAGCTCGTGCCTAAGATGCCCCTGGACAGCCAGCCCTGCTGGAGGCGGCCCACAGCCTGGGTCCACAGCTCAGCCCCAGCCCCCACCTGTCCTTGCGCCTGGGCCCATCCTCTCTGAGTAGTGAAGGGAGAAGATGAGCCCCTCGCTCGCCACTGGAAGACACACGACTGCTCGCAGAGACAATGGCAGAAGCCGTCAGTGACCTGGCCGTATATCCTGGTTGGCCGCCAGCAGTCACAGACCTACAGCCCCTGCAGCTTCCTGTGTCTCTGCCTGAGGCCCTTCCCTGGTCGTAGGCACATGCTCGGGCCTGTGCGTTCGGGCCTCAGGAACAAGCCCCAGTCAGTGAGGGATGGGCCTCCTCACCCTTCAGGGGGCACAAATGTGAGGCCTGTTCCCCCAGTGGCTCAATGGGCCCCCCATGGGACTGAGCCCCAATGGCCCACTTTAATGGGCTCTGTACCAGTGTTCTTCCCTCCCTGTCTCATCCCCTCCCTCCCTCTGCGCATGCCCCAGTCACCTGCCAATCTCCAGGTCTGCTACCGGCGAAGCTGCTCACGGCGAAGCTGCTCACGGCCACCCCTGCATAATGGTCCCATGCCCATGACACTGGGCCACCCAGACACCAGGTGTGGATAGCCAAATCCACACCTCTACCCTTACCTCTCCTCTGAGCTCCCAGCCCAGCATCCCACTGCTGACGGGCCCTGGGCATCTGGGTGGGTGTACCTCAGACAACGCTGATGTGACATGCCGACCCACCGCTCCTCTCCCCAGGCCCGCTCCAGTGACCACCCCACCCTCCCGCAGGTGCTCACGCCAGAGACCTCCTTCCATCCCTCACACCGCCCTCCTCTCTCCCATATTTTGTTGCTTCATTGCTCGCATGGACCCTGCCTCCCCACCTCCTGTCTCCCCCCATCTCATCAGCCCTCCAACCTGCAATAGTCAGACTGGTCTTTCTGAAATGCAACGGGATCCGTTTTTCTCCTGGCCTCACAAAAGATGGCAAATGACTAACTCAGGCACCAGCCTCAGACTCTCCTCCTTCAGTGAGTCCAGAAGCTGGGTGTCGGAAGCATCCAGATCAGGGGCCCTAAGCCCAGGGGTGGGCTATGGGTACAAGAGGGCCTGGCTTACTGGCTGTCACATGCTCTGGACACCTGTAGCCCCAACTCCCCCCCCCCCCCGGATGTTGGTGTCCTGTGCCTTCTTTCCTTTCACAAAGTTTTTCTTGGGGAGGGGGTGGGGGGAGGACCAGTTTTCCAGAGCTGCTATACCACAGCACCACACACTGGGTGGCTCAAACAACAGAAATGTGTTGTCTCTCAGTTCTATAGTCCAGAAGTCCAAGATCAAGGTGTCGGCAGAGTTGGTTCCTGTGAGGGCTGGGAGAGAAGGTTGTGTCTAGGCCTCTCTCCCTGGCTTATAAATAGCCATTTTCTCCCTGTGCCTTCCCTCTGTGTGTGTCTCTATTTCCAAATTTCTCCTCTTGAAGGAACACCAGCCATATTGGATTGGGGTCCATCCTAACGACCTCATCTTAATTTCATTACTTCTCTAAAGACCCTATCTCTAAATGAGGTCCCATTCTGAGGGGACTTCTGGAACTTCAACATAATGGATTTTGGGGGGAAACACAACTCAAACCTAACAGGGGAGCAGAAGAAGGGCGGTGAAGTGCAGACCCCAGGCTCCAGGAGGCTGCCTACATTCCTGCCCACCTTGCCTGGCAGGTCCTGCCTGTTGGGGGCAGCCCCAGAGTCCTGGTCTCCACAGGAAAGGAGTGGGCACTGAGCAGGTGAGAGGGAATTTGTGCACACGGACCAGAAGAGATACTCATCCCTGCCCTCTGTGTCCACACCCCTTTTGAGGAAAACTGTCCTAGCCCCAGCCGTGACCCTGTTTGTACCATGACCATGCTCTCTCCCTCCATAGGCATTCAAGCTGACCCCAGGGCAGGTGTCCATAGGCCGGCCAGTAATCGATGACTGACACCGAAAGAGGAACTGGGTCAATCAAATTCTGCCGGGAAATTTGCACGATGACACGTCAAACAGTT